AGCAGAACCCCGGGGCGCAGGGGTGAGGAGAGCACTCCCCACCCCGGGGCGCAGCAGTGGGGCCCCGGAGTGCTCGGCCCCGGTCCGTGGGCACGGCGCGGCAGGGCAGGACACGGCCCTCAGCATGACAGAAGAGGTGCCCGCAGCAGCCACCATGCCGGCGTGCAACGGGAGCGTTCCCCCGGGGGACGGCCCGCTCCAGGGCATCGGCGGGAGCGACCAAACGCCAAAATCTGCTGGGACGGTCCCGTGTGCAAACGTGGAAACCAGCTCTGATGCTCCACCTGCAAAGGAAGCTCTGGAGGAAAACAGAAATTCATTGGCAGAGGACATCGCTCCGGGGGATTCTGCTGGAGAGAAGCCATGCCGAGGTACCGTATGGGGCTGCTTGGCTCTTGAGAGTTGGGAGAGAAAAGCTCTGTTTTTCTATAGCCTGATGAATAACGGGACATGCTGTACATGTGAGTCAAAATTCCTAACCTACGGTAGCTGTAACAGCGACTCGGAGTATTTCCGGGGACACATTTGAGGGACAAGTTTGTAACTAAAGAAATGAACGATTAATAAATCTGCTCTGAAAATCTGACAATCTGCAGCCATTAAAACCTGATTGCTCCATGAGCCCATGTCTTCTGCTTTGTGTTTCCCAAAGAAAAGCGAGAGGAGAAGGATGGGATGCTACAGCAGGGAGCAGCGGATATCCAGGACACAGGGACCGATGGCCAGGGATCAGGGGAAGGTAATGCAAAACACTGTCTGATGTGGGGTTTCCCTGACACGTAGCAATGAATGGCCTTCAAAAGTCAGTGGATACAGGTGGTTATTAATTTTTTTTAATTGGGTCAGACCCTTCTATTCCAGAGAGCAGTGACTCATTTCTCACATGCGGAGTTGCTGCACCTTAGAAACCATGGCTGGTATCTTCCTTCCTGAGGTTTTGCATATCTCCATGACCATGGGGTATCAAAGCAATGTGGGGTCTTTGACCGGGAGATCCCCAAAAGCTTCGAAAGGTTGAGAGATGCTCTATCTTCTGCTTCATGCCCAGAGGAGAACCTTGGGAGGCTGCCGGAGGCCTCAAAACCCAGACTCTCTTCCTGCCTGACTTATCAAGTGTTGAATCCCATTTCAGAGAACCATGGGGTTATCTGCAGAAAATTGCTCTGCTAAACACTTGCTCCTCAGTTTCACTCTGCTCATTTCTGGGTGAAAATGGTAGAAATCCGTGGGAGCCAAGGCTGGAGCCTCAGCCGTGTCCTGGTGAGCGGGGCTGTGGGGGGGTCACTGCCCGCCCCGGTCCCGAGTTAAAATGTACTGGCTATATACATAGATTAACATATTTAATTGCACTATGCAAACTGCAGCCACTTCTCCAAAAGGAGCAGTATTCTATGGAGTATTACTAGAGGAGGAGTATTTTATGGAGTGTTACTAAAGGAGGAAAGCCACATTTCTCCAAGGGGGGCTCCAGGCATTATTCCTTTCTGTGTCTCCCACCAGTGGGCTCCTGCCTGTCTCTTTGGCTTTGGCAGTGGTGGGACAAGGGTACAGGGCCAGGGGCTGCTAGAGATGCTCTCCCCTGAGCTTTGAAGGTGGCTCTAAAAGAGGAACGGGCTGTGCCCTGCAAACGGAAACTGCTTTCATTAAGAAAAGGAAAAATATCTGAATATTTGTCATGGGCAAATTAATATTTTGTAGCAACCGCCTAGGCTGTGAGGAGGTGAATCATGGTGGAGGCTTTCCCACTTAGAGCTGACATCCGTATTCCAGCTGTGCTGCTTTAGGAGCACACAATAAAACCTATTAAAGGATCTCGCCAGGCTCCCCCCGGCCCCGCCCCTCAACCACAAGCACTTTATCTTGAAATTGCAGGCAGCTTTTTAGTACCCAACCAATTTAGTCTAATTAATACTCTGGACCCCACAGGCAAAACGTTGAATAGACCATTTGTTGAGACACTAAAGCATCATTACCGGCAGAGACGTGCCAAACAGGACAAATGGGAGATGGCCATGGCAGCCGGGGCGGCCACCGCTGAGGGAGGGACACGTCCCAGGGGGCACAGCTGGGCACTGCGTGCAGAACGGCTCCCTTCCCCCTGCCTTTCCCTTCTTCTCCTTCTCCTTTCCCTTCTTCTCCTTCTCCTTCTCCTT